TGTGTTCTTCCACCCGGATTTCAGCCTCCAGTTGTGACTGGTTGCTTGGATGACTAGTTTACTTGCAAGGTCGAAAGACTGATTTCGTTATTCGACTTACAAATAATCCCTGAACTTGACCCCTACGCTCTTTATCCGATGCCCTTTGCTCTTCCGTGGTTCTACGGTTGACCTTGTTATTTGGTCTGTTCGCGTGGTACTCCTTTCTGTTTCTGATGTCGATCCACAGCTCGATCCGCTGCTAGCGATCGACTGTTCGCACGTGCGTATTGATTGAACGAAGTTCTATAAATCGACTGTAGGCATTTGTCTTATTGTGTGAAATCTCCAGGATCTCACACATTCACTTCGTGCGTTCACGTTCTATAAAAGTACTCGGCGACTCATTAGATGCTTTTTATGGATACCAGGGAGAGTGGAGTGTATCATCTTATGATCACCTTGTATCTCCGTATTATTTCGGGTTCTCCAACCAAGTGCTTGCTGTATTCACTGCAGTTTGTCTAGCAGAAGACGTGGTTTTGGTGTTCCTATTTGATCTATCTTTTGGCCTCAAAAGTAATCTTCAAGGAGTGACAACTTATACGCTTCAATATCCCGTGTAGGTGTATCAGTCTTGCATTTAGTTCAGGTATGTCGATGACGTAAGGGTTACTACATGCACACTGACTTGCTCTGGCTTTTTCGGTGGCTGCCGTGAAGTTCCCATTTTCAAGTTAATTGTGACAACGATTCTAAGATGTCCGCTGTTTTTTCAACATTCGGTGTAAGAAGCGTTTTCCTTTTCTTCCCAGCTCCATTGTGTTTCTCAACTCTTTTAACAGACTCTAGCTGCGGTCTTGCATGTGGTATATCGGGCCGTTGTGGGATCTAGTTGTGCTTCCTTTTGATCTAAAACTGAGAAAAACTTTTTAAGATTACCACTCGTTTCCGCATGAAGGACGCATCCCATAAAAATTACATGACCAGCCTAACGCATGCACTGGGGGCGCCTGCTCTGCTCCGCGTCGAATTTGACGAAAACTGTACCGAAGTCCACCCGACGAAATCACACAGATAACTTCCATACGGAGGCACTAGGCTCTCAAAATCCTCAAAAATAAACCTCCATGATACTGATACCAGGCCATCAGCAAGTGACCTTGCTATTGGACACACCCGAATACATCAAAAAGGCTACGCCCCTGCTCTACGATGCTGCCACATAATGAATCGTATTAAAATCTTGTTATCTAAATAAAAAATAGCTCCATCTTGTGAGACAAGTAGAGAAAAAACGATAGCACATTGTAAAACAAATGCAGTGAGAGAAATTTTTCATCCAGTATTCTAGACAGATTCTGGGCAACTTAAGGCACATGGACCTCTTAAAAACAGCAGCCGATGATTTTCACCACTACCGCATCGAAGACAAAAAACAGGAGGATATTTTCCATTTGCTTCGCACACGATTATGCTCTCACTTGCTCATGCATATAACACTGTTTGATCGGATTTTAAGTCAAACCGTGGAGAAGTTGACGTGAAGGGTCGTAGTATGTACGCCTGTCGAACATGTGTAAACCTCACTCATGATATCACGATTTCATTCATCTAGACAGGCTTAAAATCGTGCACGAGTTTGCGAAATGTGTCGTGGTAACAGTCGAATCATATGCGACCGCGCACCGATAACCTGTTTTCATTTGCCCAACTGGTTAAGCATGCACACGAACAAGTTTCAAACAAAGGCATCCACTGTGTATACTGTCACCCAGAAATGACCACTATTTGCCACCAAATGTCTTATGATTAACTACTGTGCTGTTTTTTCTTTTGGCATCACTCGGGTGCTCATGTCCTCGAGAAAGTCTACCACGTAACTTCGTAACGATGTGAACCACATGACACACAGTCTACTTAGAAACATCAGGATCATTCTTGATCTGGGTCCTCAGGAAGTGTTAATGTTTTCGTGTATTCTTCGCCAACGCAGCTGGGATTAAATTAGGTTCCTCAATATGCAACGATAAATTTCGCGATTTCTACTGAAATTCCGTTGACAATCACATTCCTTCAGTTTCTACCTGATTTCTGATTCCGGCGGCTTTCCAGTTACTTGGAAGTTATTGTTTGCCAAGCATAACTAAGTCAGAATGGCATCATATGGAGGAACAACGTGTACGAAGTATCGCGGTTAAACACCGATACCTATGGTAAGTGCATCCTATATAACCGTTTGCGTTATAGCCGAAGTTCGGCTTGCATGGTCTTAACGAACTAAGAGATATGACAATTATTTCAAACATTATTTCTTATAACGAGTTTATGGATCTTTCAAGTGTTTTTCAAGTGCCTTTCAAGTGGGTCTTTCAAGTGTAAAATCAGGTGACAGAAAACGTTAACAAATTACATCTTTCGTGGATCTGAACAACACATTAGATTTTGCCGGAAATGCAGTGATTCTCATGGAGGAGGTGATCCGTTCTGAATCATTTGCAGCACCCAACCAAACCATTGAATAAAATTATGTACCGATTGTTTGAGCCTAAAACAGACCATGTTGACTAAAATTTGTTGCCAGCGAACTTATTTTCACGAGAATCCGGCTGCACAATTTGCATGGTACCAATCATGTTAGACGAAGTTTCGTAATCACTAAATTTCCTCTCTGTCGCTTTTACCCTGCTTTTTCTGATCAGACGAAATATTCGCATACAATTATGGAAGTTTATACTAATTTTATGCTGGCACTTGAAAATAGTTAACCAAAAATAATTAGAGCCTTCAACATTCAATAGAATTTCTCACATCCTGTGAAGTAATTATGGATGCGTTCATTCTAAGATAGAAACGAGTGTAAAAATAAAACAAACTAGTGTACAACACTAGCAACCTCTCAGCTGCCTTGTCCAGAACTGGTGAAAGAAAAATTCCTTTTCAAACTTGTTCTTCTATTTTACATGTACTTTAGCTTCACACAGTCAGTAAAAGTTGAATGAAACTCGCTGAAGCCAAACAAAACCAGAAGTTTTATTATCACATCACTACTGAAGTTTGATTTTCTGATAAATGGTCATCTCGTTTTGAGCAACTGCCCAGTGAGTCTTTTAGTGAATGTCTGGTTCACCAAAGTACGGCAAACACTGTATAAACATCACTGTTCGGCTTTTACACACCAAAAAATTGCTCTATGTCGATTTGGGATGCTGTAAAAGAAATAGGTGTACCACACTCTTTTTCCTGGAACTGTGATAATTTGTCCTAACCCAACGGTCTGATAAAAACTGAGTGCTCATAGAACCTAGCCAGACACCATATTTGACGAGATGTCGTCGGGCTCGTATGATCTGTTCAGACGGGGTAGAGAGAAGAAGACTTCATGGATTCATGAGTTCCAAACTATCCTTATAAGACTGTTCAGTAAGTTTCCGGTACTCATTCAACAACATATTTGCCGCTCTCGGGCTCTGTGCACGACCGACAAAAAGGTGTTGCATTACGCCTCATTTTTTGTTATTCGAATTTCGACTGTTTTCTAGAAAACACGCTTTTGAGGTTTTGGTCTTTGGTATGACAAAACATATTATGGGCAGATAAAAATGTTTTGATTCACAAAATTAAATCCTACTTAAACGACCAGTTAGTAGAGTCCAGTTACCTAGACCTCATTTCTGTCAATTAAGTAGTTGTCACAAGCACCCATAGAGAACAAATGAAGCTAAATTAGCCTTCGATTCAAGGAACTTTTTTATAAGGCAAAAAGTGTTTCTACCGTGAACGTATCCCTTCATCAAAATAATGGGCACATAAACCTGATTCATGTACATTACACACCAGTAGAGTTTACCGTATTGGAGGCATATCGGTTCAGTTTTCCAAGTACTCGCCATACAACTACCGCCGCCTGGCAAACACCAAATTTTAATATGAAACACAACAGTGCAGTTTTGAATGAGTTTCCCGATTTACTTCGCTGTGTCTTATCAGGTGCGCAATAAACAGACTAACGAAAAGTAAATATTACCACTTTGAAGTTTTGCTTTGCAGTTTAACATTTTAATACTTACACACAACTTTTTTGTTTGCGAATTATGCAGTGAACCACCTCCTCCCGAAGACTTGCTCTGATACTTCTATAATAAACACCGGTAATTGCTGGAAACGCGGTAAAATACACGGTTACTGTGCTTTACTTCATCTATTTATTTGCTTGAGTTCACCAGCTAAACTAAGGAGAGGTTAATGACCAAACAGTTCCATAAAAAACCCATTGAAGTAGCAAGAAACTACATCCGTAACGACATTGTCAGCCTATCAGTGAATATGTACCATTGCAGTGCGACACTTGACATGAAGTGTCGTCCGTTGGGAGAAGTTTAGACTGTTTCGTGGATCGGATTTTTTCTATGCCACAATGTGGCCCATACGTAGTTGCAAAATTCATTCAGAGTGATATCTCCTGATTGTGGCATTAAGCTTAGAAGCTTTTTATGTGTGAGACTACTGTATTCAGTTCCGCCGTTCAATCCACCAAATTTCTTCAAGATTCTTCTGTGTATATATTTTGTGGTAAACTAATAACTAAACAATACACGCGCACTATCCACCAAACTGATGCACTGAGTTGAACATCTAATGGTTAGTATCACCATCAGGTCGAAGAATTTGGGAGGTATCTGATGAGATTAGTTACTGAGATAAACCCTAGCAATGAACCCAGAAGTAATCGGAAGAATTAATTGAAAAAATTTCGCTTGGGTTTATTGTTCAGATAATCTTCGTGTAAAAACTATCAGAACTGCATGTCATACGTATTGTGTTGATAACAAGCAGTTGAAGAACAGCTAACTGCCGTTTGTGTGACATCGGTTCCCGTAATAAATGCCCGGATCATTTAGCTTTCTGTTTACGAATTCAACTGTTCAGTTTCATCGTATTCATTGTGTTCAACGCGAATCAGCAAAATGGTGCCTAATAATGCAGCTGTAGCACTCTTCCGGTGACCAGCTGCCATACCATCCGAAGGAAGCACGATGGCTGGGTCGCCGAAGCCTACACAGGGGAAGTCGAGAGGCAGAGGTCGGGTTCGAACCACGGACCTTCCAGTCAGTAAATTCGCGCTCTAACCACTTAGGCCGCCTAATAATTAGTATTATGGATTTTTGCATGACCGTTTGCAACACAACTAGAGTTAGCGGACAAAGTGCCCAAAATGATAAGGTTACGGAGGGCCAGTTATCAGGACATATGAGAACACAATGTATCTTCCGGAAAAAACGATAGAACGGAATAGGAAACGGTGTGCGGAAAAGTATTTCATGAGTGTTTGTCCCATGATCTGGGACGTATTAATCAAACCAATAGTCGCAGGGAGAAGGTTCTGTTCGCCACACTACCTCTTCTATTGCCTTCTACGAGAATAATCGACCGTTTGTGATTTACAAAGGGAGCTAAATACATTGAAGAATGTTCTTGTTGAACCAATTCTGGGAAGCAACACCGAATTTTTATTAACTGTTTTGAATGTGTCTGGGATATCAAAGCAATGTAAAACGACACAACGCCTGGTGACCAACATACTCGACAAATTACTAACTGAATGGACAGCCATTGATTCGGCAATCAGTTGTCATTATTGCGAAAAAAACTTTGCATAATTTTGACGTTGACAGAATTTCTCGTCACTTCGGTATGCACAGTGCTCTCACACCTTCTGGACTGACATAAGTAGAGCTTCTCGAAAAGGCGCCCTCTCTTGGCGGACACACTATGAGCCGTGCTTTTGTAGCACTTTTGTTGCATTGATCAGTGTTAGATTAGATACCAGCGTCTCTGTCATCAGTCCCCTCATCGCGTAAATTTGCCAGTGTTAACCATGGTTTAATATTAAATAAGTTGAAACTTTCAGCAGGTTAAATTATGAGGGCGATTTAGAATACTCTAGTTGCCTGTTTATTTCAAAACCACCCAGACCACTGTTGTCACAGGATGCAATGGGGTACAATAAAACCCCTCTTATATAAATCGGGGTTCACATTTTCTATGTTGGTTAAAAAGACATACCAGCGATAGCTTCATCTAGAAGTCTTTTACCTACAGTAAGCCGCAGGATTAAAAAATTAATTTTCTTATATAGTGTTGAGTTGAGCATCGTCTCGTGACTGCCTGAGATACATATGATGCTGGCTTTTAACCACAGACCACTCTCATTTGGTGCAGAATTTCATCCAAGCATTTAAAACTTTACTATGCTTCTGCGTATTTTTCGATGTGGAGTCATCCTACAATGCCAATTACATGGGCTTTTTTCTCCATCACTAGTGCTCGGAGTATGAGGGCTTTACTCCGAGTACGCTTTCGTCCCATTTTAATGGCTTGATGGTGTTATCGGTGTTCATCTCAACACTATTGACTGAGTATCCTTTATTGTTGCTTTATATGAGTGGCGAAACCCGTAGTTTTGGTACTGGTTGGTTGGTTTGCTTAAAGAAGCACCTCTGCTTATAAGTAATTTATACCTCTTAGTGCAGATTAATTTATGGTCGGGTCATTATAACCCTCTCTTAGAGCACACACTCTTGGGGAATCAAAATTATTTACCTATCACTGAGACAGATATGATGCATCCTTAATTTATCGATGCTGTTTCCAGACTTAGATAGATGTACATTTCTTTGTCAACCCAAAGATAACACTTTCCTTGCAAAGGTCCCGCTGTCTGTGCAAAAATTCCGTCTTACTGTGGCATGCCTGATGAGGCTTCACACTTCTCTGCAGCTGAGAATGAACTATTCGATATGAGTAGCTGAAAAGAGGATCAAGATAGAACTTTGCCCCAGTGGGACTGTTCACTCTAATACGCCAAAGCATAACGTTTTCTGAGTTCATCTTAACTTTTACTTTAATGCAAACAAAGGCAGACTATGACATAAGTTTACTCATTACACTGGCGAGTGAATCTATTCACATTGGCGAGTAAGTCACTCAAGATAATGTCCAAACGAGGACAAGATTAATCCTCCATGTATGTCGTTGTTTTTAAGCCAATATGTATCACGATGACTTCTTCAAGCTTCCTAGTCAAGGTAACAAGGAATGCGTCTTTAACAAGTCGTATCGTGGGTAGCTGTCCATTGGTTACGCCAGAATCGAGCCTGCTAGGTTACGCGGCAAGGAGAAGACAGAGAACCCGGAATACGTTTGTACTGTCAGCACAAACATACAGAGCTCCTGCGTTATTATATAAGATGGCTGAATGACCGAATATGTTCACTCACTTGTTCGTTATTTCCAGCATGCGGTGATGTTCCTGTCGTGGGCAAATTCACACCCACTATGCTGGTCGCATGCTGCTCATCCGTGTTTGGTAAGCCCCGTCAACGCACTTGCAATCCGGAAAGTGTAGCGATGGTGACCTTGGGGACTTGTAGATCTCTATACATATATTTTTCGTGTCTGAACGCCTCCAGACATAAAAACTGGTAATTTTACTAGTTGGAAAAACTTTCTAAACACTGACCACTGGTTTCTACCTGTTTGAGTCTCACCTTGTAACAACCTGAATTCAACGTAATTTCAGTTTGATTCTCAGGTAGTAGGTGAGCTGACTGTGATCCTAAAGCTGTGCCCACATGAAGGGCATTGTAGAGAGGTCTGTGTTATTAACTAGATTTGTGCTTCGTTATGAGTAGGGATTAATAATTCGTTCACAGTATAAATCACAGAGTACATCTCGTCATTAAAAATGAGGCTGCTTTCGCCCGTTGGAACTGCACATTTCTGTCTAGTCTTTTCGTGCTGCACATCACACATCCGCTGACGCAATTATGGATGCCATCAATCGTGCATGTAAACTATGGAATATCAACCTCACTGACCCTCGCGGTGTTTTCCAGTTGTTCATAATGCTGAACAATATGATCACGTCCATAGTTTTATCGCACCTGTCAGTGTACGATTAGGGTTATCAGACAAACATCACTTTTGGACACTGTCTTTATATCACTGAGTTCAGGAACGGTAAGTCAGTTGTATGAAATTACCATAAATTTGTTCTCAGGAATAAATCTGAGAAACATGGGGCGGCAGTAAGCACGACGTGGATGCCAGAGTCGGATTTCTACATATATATCTGTTCACTGTAACCTTCCGAATATATTTTGTTTCGTGGGGATCAGCGCAGATCAGTGTTTTTAAATACACATCGAATTCTTGCTAGAAGTTTATATCATTCCGAAAATTCCCATTTATAATAAGAACACAGATGGGTTGACGAATATGTTTTCGGCAAGGTTTTTTCAAGTCATACAGTTGCAAAGGTTAAGAGAGCGGTATTTAACATACTTAAATGAGTATGGTGTAAATGGACAGGGAATCGAGTGAGATGACATTGGCTACCTATCAAAGAACCATTAGCTCAGGTCGCCAATAGGATGACTTGAGCTAGTCAGTTCGGGGGGTGTTGTCGTTGACATTTTGTAGCACCTAACTTTTGAGTGCAATCGTCACAGATTGATGAACCCTAACTGAAATCCTACCACGCGTAAACATGGCAGTGTATTTTTACTTCACTATGCGGTAAAATTTCCGCAGATCTTTTCGTTCTCTCAACGCATCGGGTTGCTGCGCTGACAGTGAAGGTTGCTAGTGCAGGTTCAATGCTGTCTTGGTTGAAATTGGGACGATCTCGGCCCACTGTGTAGGCAGGCTAACGTGGAAAAACCACAACTAACACTGATGCGCCCACCCGGACAATAAAACCATTGTTATGGCCACCGACTTTCACTAATAGGTGTCAGGATGGGTTATCGTGACACGTCAGTGTAGAGCTTGATACCTCGTTCTGTAAGGAGCCTGGATACCCAATTTAGTTGTAGCAGTGTGATTTCACGGTTTGAGCGATATGCTAATCGCACGTAACCTTAAAATCCTCAGTTCACCCAGGGAATGTGCTACCTCTCAATCTATCTGACAAGGAGGCTTCTTGATGAATGGCAAATCTTAATTTCTCTGGCCTGATGAGTTAAATCGTTCTATCTAATTGGGAGAAGAGGTCGGCGTCAGTTGGAAAGAGTGTGGGTAAATGTTATTGAAAAATACTGTCAATAAAATTTCGTTGAGTTTTTGCACACGGCACTGCTTNAAAATACTGTAAATTTCGTTGAGTTTTTGCACACGGCACTGCTTGGGTGATTGAGAGGTCAGAAGCCTTTCCGGGTCCTAGAATATCAATGCAATGCAATAAATGTTTCGTGAGTCTGCCACGAAAATATCCTTCTCCTCATTCCCGTGACAGGTTTTCCAAATGTTGATGATAATATTTATTTTTTGATGTACGACGAATGAAAATAATATTCGGTTGGTCTTGGCCGAACGATTCAGTCCTCAACTACTATTTTGGAGGTCACGAGTTCGAATTGCCCTGGCGAACATTGGTACACACATAAAAAGAAACATCAACACAATGCTTCGGCACAGGTTAACTTCATTAACAGAGCAAAATCTTCAACTAACTTTCAGAATCTTTACATACAGCCGAAAATGTCGTACAGGTATATCGGTGATATCCTTTCACGGGGTCTGGTTTTACCTACTCAAGTACACGTATCAATTGGCAACTGAGTGTTATTCAGTATAGGGACTATTCCCTGCGAGCATTAAATGAACAGGTTTTTCAATTCACACTTGATCATGGTACCGATATAAAACTTGGTTAAAACTAAAAATGAATCCATCCGATATCGAATCAGAAGCTTAAGTATGTACAGACCAACAAGAAGGACGAACGCCGAGGATATGAATCTCACCTGCGACCTGGAACTCGGGTGTGAACTGTCTGATCCGATCAGGACGTTGCCCTACGGAACAAATTTTCGCGAAAACTTCACTCAGTTTCTCCAAACACAGAACATGCAGATCATTTGTGACACAGACAGAAACCCTCCTTCGAGATATTTAAGCGGTCTCTAGTTTCGACATATTGTTTACTTGCTGGCGGTTGCGAGATCTGTGGAGTTCACTATCACATCGCTTTCGTTTAAACAGTACTCCACTTATCCTGGCACAGTTATTCTCGCGAGCTCTTACCAAAGGTAAAGCACTAGGTTCGAATTTCGTTCTTATTAGATCCTATAAGCAGGACACATGATTATCCATGCCGGAGTTTGAACTCCGGACCTCTGACATCTGACCAAACCAGGGTCGTCATTCGAGGTATCAGGAAAATCAGTCCAGTTACTCATGCGTGAACACGCTCGCGTGCTCACATGTGATGGTTCAGCTGCGTCCAGGGTGTGCTTGTTCAGCTGTAACACCCTCCTGGTGCCTAGCTGCCATTGCACCCGAAGTAGGCACGAGGGCTGGGATACTGTCAGGTCGCCCAAACCTAGACAGGGGAAGTCGAGAGGCAGAGGTCGGGTTCGAACCACCGACCTTCTGATCAGTAAATTCACGCTCTAACCACTTGGTCCAATCTCGCCACCCCTTGTGAAATAGCTGAAACCCCGATTACCTCGTCTGTCAAAAATCAGGGATTTCAACCCTGTTGAGGAGCTCTAATGGGATAAAACTCGAGTATTGTGCCCCCTCCCCCAGTTTAGTGTGGATTCGAGGTTGATTGCAACAGGAGAGGTGAAAGGACTGTCCAAACTGGATATTACTTTACTGTGATTGGGGGGTGGATTGCTTGATTTTTAGCCACCATTGGATTCGATTTTGCAATCAGATAGGACCACAAAGCTGACGCGCCCTTGATATTCTTGAAAACTATTCAAAGTAAAGTTGTAATTTTCCAAAGACAAACTGCCGTTCGAGCTTTTCTGCTTGCTTATGGAAGAGAAGCCTGACTACCTAGGCTCACAGTAAACAGTTCTGCAAAGTAGCAATCGATAGAAATAGTCAAATGCTGTTTCACAGAAAGAACAAATATTGACTTTCAACTGTCTCGTTCTGATTTGCTCCAGATAAGTGCAGCTCGTTTCCTTGCACCTTGTAGGAGAAACAAAGTTGAGGTCACACGAAAACATTAATCATACGGATGGCGTGTGTCTTGACTATGTATGAGTGCCGTGTTCTGGAAGCAGGAGGACTTTTATTAGGCTTAAGAAACCAAACATTGAAGCATGGTTCTATTTATTTAGAGGCAATCTGTGGGTATAGGCTTCCTATGTAGGGGGAATGCCGTTTTCATAATGAAATGCACGTGAATTTCAAGTGTTTCATTTCTTTGAGGTGTTAGTCATATGGAGATTCATTGTGAGGAGAATGTACATTACTGCATTCCTCCTGCACGCCTATGCGATGAACAACATCTGGATGTATCCGCAGAGGTTTTATTACATTCAGTTCACAAATTTTTCTGCAAAAGCAAGTAGAATCAGGTGAATAAACTTTGGATGCTGTAGTGAAGTAACTGGTCGTTCGCTTGTTCGCTGAGCTGGGCAATTTGGTTGCAAACGTTTCATCACCAATCGAGGTGACATCATCAGTGCGTAGTTGTGCGTAGCGGTGGGTTAGTGGTTGTGCGTTCAATAGTGTTACGTGTGTGTTGATATACGTGCTGGTAGCCGGGGATGACCTTTGACCGCGATTAGTTATTCTGTCGGGCGATTCCATTGGTTGTTCTTTTTATCCCGTGTCCCACGTGACTTTTGAACTTGGCATCCCTCGCCGTCGTAGTCTAGTCGATGTTGGAGTGACCTTTGTCCTTCCGAGTTCCGGATGTGACCTTTATTGATTTGACTCCGAGGAGTTCCTTGTTTCTTCGTTTGTGGATCCATTATTCGGTCCTCCTTGAGTGTTTCGGTTGCGATGTTGATCTCTGGCGCGTAGAGGTGCGTAAATTGGATCCAGTTCGATGCACCGGTTTATTGAACCTGTCGTAGAGTACCATGCCTCCAGAAATTCTCTTCCGTGTCGCGTGTCTCCGTATGCCAAAATTCTCGCGTTTTCCAGGTTGAATTTGTGGCCTTCCTGGTCCTCGTGTATGGACATCAAGGACTGATGATGTCAACTCGATTGGTGACGAAACGTTTGCAACCAAATTGCCCAACTCAGCGAACAAGCGAACGACTATCTACGCTACCTGAGCTACCGACATTCTCCTCTATAGTGGAGTAACTATTATTCATCGTTGGTTTTGCTTCCGACTCGAATGCCCATAAGAGCAGAAACCCGCCGCGAAAAGTGGACTATATTTTGATGTGACGGTCTTCTCATCTTCATGAACCGTTGAGCAAAAAGGGGAAATTAGCGTGTGAGGCTCACTTAGCTTGTCATACTAGGCCGGTCAACAGATAGAGGCATGACTAACTGTATCCCAGTCCTCCATGTGGGAGTTGAAACATCTGTGGCGACATGATTATCATAAATGCAGACTGCTCTGGCGATCGTACAAAAGCTAACCCTTCATTGTGGTTGAGATTTTGACCAAAAAACCTCAGATGAGGACCCCTACCATCCTCCCGTCTAGATCAAGCCCACCTACAACCACAGAGCACACAGTTATTCACTGTAAACTCATGTCTCATAGACCGTCGCCTAGTGACGTCAAGCGAGTCGCCTTGCTCGCTGCATACAGCAGGGCACATTTTTCTGTCACCACTCTTACACCATTGCTAGCGACATCTTCGTAGACTCACCATTGAGCACTACCAGATCCGTTCGCCGTTCATTGCCATACCGATGCCTAACTCCCACCATAGCCGCAAGCTCTCCGGGATTATTCCCCAAACTTCGATGCTCAATTCATCTGGAAGCCTTTAAGGTACTCGGAACCCAAACTTATTGAACTGACTTCGCAGTCGGTTTTATCCTCCATCCGGTAATCCAGAGGTCCACACGAATTGTTTCGCCGGTTGATATCATTTCAAGCCACCAACCGTACGTGCCTCTAATAGACTGGTTGCCCATCGACAGTAGATTCTGTACGCTTCATTTGATAACGTCTGTGAGAGTGCATCGTAAACGCTCCGCTAATCCATGCTTTTCACAGTGATTGCATACGCCCCAACAGACTGTAGCTCGGGTTCTTACAAAGACTTTTTAAAAGGCCTTAGGTGCTTCATTACAATGGAAGGTTGTGATTTCTTGGATATGCTCTGCTGCTTGGTCATATAGTTCCCCCCTCGTGCGAGCCAACCACAAAGCAGACATACTGAATCACCATTAACTATAGGGGACATAAGTCAACTACCGTTTATCACTCGTTCTGGATTACCTGTTTAGGTTCGGATCACGCGCGTGTTCGTTGCTACTTCTGGCTGCGCCTTCTAGGAGTGTGCGAGATAAGTCCATCTCGCTTGGGCAATGAGAAGCTCTCGGACCCTGATATGAAACAAACCTGAAAAACATTTACTAAAGTCCCTTACTGACAACAGATATTCTGATGTTGACTCTTAATGGAAGGTACTATTTGCAACCCTGCAAAGTGCAAAACGCTCCGCTTGTGAAAGAGCGCGACCACCCATGCCCTACCCGTCGGTTACTGGCAACATTCTAAAATTGCTCGAAGCTCATATACATATTCCTGCAGGTAGGGGTACGACAGGACTCAATGGACCGGCGAACGTTAAGTAGAAAAGAGCATCTATGAGGATCTAAAACCTTGCGGGTCCAGAAATCCGAAGAAATGAAGAAAATGAGAAACGCTTGAAATGTAAGAAAACTATTGCAGCTGATACATGTAGCATGTCTTAAAAGGCCTTCAATGAACGGAACAGCCACTAATAGGAACAACTCGCTTATCTCTGAAAAAGAACGCCTGAATCATTCTAGTGAACAATTTTAACAATAGTTCAGCTGGCTGACTACATTTCCTCAATCAAATTTGTGACCCTCCACGGAATCCTTAACTTGGAACCTCTGTGGCTTTGAAAATAGACGAATGCTTTTCTTCCCTCGAGCGCAGTCCAACTACTCAATGAAACTGGGAGTTTTTATCAGACTGGATTTTAAGGGAGATCAACCAACCGCAACCAATCGGATTTGCGTACACAGCCACTCAACCACTCCTGCCATCATCTGTGATGCGCGTCACGTCACACGTTGTATAACAGTTCACATATATTAGCACAACAGATATGGACTTGTGCGAAAGCATCTCGGAACATCTGCCTCGTTATTTGGGTCAGGTGACCAATCCATCGACCAATGACCGGCAAGCTGATACCCGAAACACTGTCTCATCGATCGCCGAACACGTTCTATCCACTATTAACAGAGTTAATCCTGTATAGCTTTCAGAATTTTCCGCGTAATATCAATTCAAGTTTTCTAGTTTTCCGGCAGGCCATGCTGATCAGTCAACACCGATCCAGCCTGTGCGCATCCCATTAACTTGCTTAGGACCTAAGAACCACACTTGATTAGCCCACGATACGATTAGTCCTGACTTACTGCTTTATCGCCATTTACTCCTCAGCGTGAAGTAAAACTGATGGGTTTTAAGTACTCCGGCTGAAAAGATAAAAGCATCAGGATGAGGAAATTAAGCTTTTGAGTTTCCGTTTTTTTACTCAGATGGATTCTTCCAGTGTGATGGAAGTCCCCTAATGCTCCTTAAGGTCAGGTTCAAGGCCTCATACGCCCAACATTTACCTGAATCACCTTAAACGTTTGTGCAGATCTCTCTTGGTTCTATCGGAAAGCACCTTTTTACGTTCTAGTATGATTCATTTTCCATTGATGTGTTCCTCATACTCAACCGCCACTGTGAATGCCTAAATTAGAAGTAAGGTATCTCTTTGGTTGCCAGAGGAATCGTGCAAAAAACTAGATTTTATCAAGACGAATTTGTTCAGAAGGTGAAAGGAATGATCCTAATGTAACAATCCCAAAATGTACCACATAATGAGAACTGCACTTGTGGTAAAGAACCGAGATGAAAAATTAGCTACTTCATCGTCATTGAAAAATGTCGCTAACGTACATCCATGCAATGGTCAATGGGGACTTGGGACCAGGGCTTTCCTGATAAGAGGTTGATCACACTATCCTTCTTCTAGACGTAACTGATGAGCACTACAATAACAAGACGCACTGCCGCCTTAGCGACACAATTCGCATCACGCGGTCTAATTTTGGCCGGCCCACTCAATGAAGATTTGTCAGGAGAGCTGAGGCAGTTTCTGTTACATTTTCATACTCATAGTTACTCCTATTTCTTGGCGAGGACGGTATTTTTGTGTCACAGTTTTAAATTTTGTCCCGTGCTGCATATATGTGTATTACCGATGACCCTCAACAAGCGAGAAGCAACTGCACGGTGCGTCTCCTCTTGTCATGACAGGTCAGCTCTTCTTCGTAGAACAGCCGCAGCCAGTTCGGTAGTTAGCGCCGTCAGTTTAGGCAACGAAAAGGGATGAAAGATGTTCACGAACGTTTT